AAACTGTTGAAAAAGTTACATAGATACTTGGGACACAGGTCGGAAAAGCGTACGACCTAAGGCTAAAAGTAAATACACAATACTTTAATTCAAAGGCGGAGCCACTAAGGAGTTCTTCTCAGGCAGAGGGAGAGTATAATTTACCTCTGCATCTTCCGCCTATTACTCTTTCTCTCCTTCCTCCTCGGCCCGAACCGTCTCCTCATCCTCTGAGACCTCCTTGTTCGCCCAGGTATCAAACGACTCCGACTCCGGCTTCCCCTCCGCCCTTGCAGTTAGAACAAGATCTGTATATTGGTATCTCAAATCGAAGACACCATATTCGGTTCCCGGATGAACTGGGTCCCATGCTATTTTCATCCGTTCCTCGCAGTCTTGTTCTATCTCCTTTATGAGGCGGCTTTGCTCAGCCTCTAGAGCCATTTGATAATTGGTGTGGGACGCGGCCAGCTCATTCTTTTAACGGTTGACGTCTGCCCGGAGAGTGGTGTTCTCCTTGTCAGCGCCCTCCAAAGCCTTGAGGTCAGACTAGGCGTTTTTTAGTGCCACTTCTAAGTCGGAGGCTTTCTTGTTCGCCTCATCCAGCGCAGCCGTCAGCCGCCTGATGGACTCCGCCTGCGTTAGTAACTTGGCCTTAGTCTCAAGATCATTTATTGTACATTGATATTGAGCAACGTCAGCAGACTCATTTGCCCGGACATTGGCCTTCCTTACCCTCTTCCTGTTTTCGGGCATACGACTTCTTTATCCCATCAACTCTGATCATCACCAGTAAACATACATGTGGCAAGTTAAACACTCAAGCGGTTATTAACTTGCTAAATACTAAAGGCTAGAGTCGAGTTAAAGTACCTAAGCCAGCATAGCCGTAAACCGGTCGACATCGAACGTGTGCACCCCCGGGATGGCCTCGTTGTCCTCCTTGGAGATGGACTTCAGCATAGTCTTTGAATAATGCTTCACATCCGACCATCTGGGGGAAAGATCTGCAGAGCAAGGAAGATTTGGTGAGTAAGCAACATTGGCGCCACCAATAGACTGTCGGCTGCCCGAAGAATCTTCCGACGGTTGAGAACGCGACTTGACCCGCATGGTCAAAGGAAGATCAAAGGGACCAGCCGTACCTTGGGAGAAAGGCTAAAGGCTTTGATCGCCTACTGCCACTGCAGAACCGCTTGCAGTGTTGAGTGGCACGCCACTCTTCAGCGTACCAGAGGCGCTCGACTTCTTTGTGAGGTCAATCCCAAAACCTTTCAAGCTCTTCCCAGCCGTAGACACGCATCCTTTCCCAAGCGGAAGGTCGGGAACCGTCTGGGATGAGGACACCTTCCTAGGCTTGGCCAAACTTTTGACCTCGTACTCATGCTTTCTCTTGAACAGCTTTGAAAAGGATCTGGGAGGCCCCTTGTCTCCATCCTGGATGAAGAGAGCAAAGTGTCAAAGACACAACCGGCTATAACCGCCTATATTAAAGGAGGAAGAGTAAACTGAGGAAAGACTAGAGCAGGCGGATCATACATGTTCCTTGGCCGCCAGTTGGGCCCGTTTTTTTCTTCTGCATTGTCCTTCATTATCTGAGCTGCAAAGCGGGCAGGCGTTTTGTCTTCTAGAAGCATGCCTCTGCCGGTTTTTGCAACAAGAATCGTCTGTTAAATCATTAAACAACAAGAAAATTGCAAGTAAAAGCTTAGAAACAACAGAGACGGCATGAGAATGTCGGATGTCCACTCTAAATACGTCAATCAAACATGGTGCTGAGACCACTGGCGAACAAAAAAGCCTCATCTCTTAACCACTCATGTTTAGGTACCCAATTTCTAGACACACTTATTAGTTCATCGGTTGACAGGGCATGGTGGTTAGCCCAAAGAAATCCGGCTCTATTATTGTGTCACAGTCCTCATCCGGGATCTGGGGCATGGCACACTTCTTGCCAAACCATTCTGGCTTCTTATTGTAACGACGGTATTGATGATTTTCTCGCCGTTTGGGGGGGGAGACAAAAAAAAACTTGTTTCTCCAATCAGACCACTTAAACGGCTTGTCTAAGGTCATAAGGTATTCCGAGTAAGTGGTCAGTGTGTACCACACCCGCTAACCGCCTGGGTTTTGGCTCAGGTTGTGCATCTTGGAAAAAGCCTCCCAGCCGGGATGGAGGTTCTGCATCTCGCAGGCGGCGATGTAGCCCAGAATGTTGACCCAGGATTTTAGGGTCAACTACCACACGCCTAAGCCATACCCTCGAAGGATGGCCTTTATTGCATCATGGAGGGGGAAGCGGAGGCTGGCTAAGAACGCTGCCTCATAACAACCAAAGTAATCATTGGCATTTGGTTGGTTATCTTCCTATGCTATGGTGCCCAGTTCAGGCGGCACCCGGATGTCATAATTCCCCCCAAGGGGACGCTTCATTTTAAAGTCCTCCAAACCCTTCTTCATGATTGCCCTGTTCTTGGAAGATACATACATTTGAAACGGGTCATTTTTATCAAGCCAATGACGACGTTCCTCCTCCTCACTATCCTCAAGCGGTGATAGTGAATTACTACTACTCTCTTTAGAGTCATACCCAGAGGCGGCCTCTTCACTTGTTTCTCTCAAATCCGGATACAGAGCCGGCCTCCTCGTCGTCTCCCTGTTCGGACTCATTCCCTTGTTCAGATTCCTCCAAGATCCCATCACTTGGAGTGCTACACCCGAGGGAAACTCTGCTTCTTGGTCAGCCGACATATTTATCTCCTCAACCGGTGTGACCTCGTCTGTCAGCACTTCTAAAGTGTCTTCCTCTCTATACTTTGGGTCCTGTGCCGTATTTTTGGTTCGAGCCATCGTGTCCTGCACAAACACACACACGGTCGGATTCGGGGAAGAATTAGGGTGGACCAAACACCTAGAGACGACACCCCTAGTCCTAGACTCAGCCGTACCAGAAGAATGGTTGACTACTGTCCTAGGTTGTGCCGTGTGTGTTGATGGTGAATCCATTTATTTAAAACAATATTCACAAACGTAAAAAGGATAAGAAGGAGAGAGACGGTACCTCAAACGTGTTTTTCCGAAACAAAGAGGTATCAAGCGCTGACCGGCTGTAACAGATGGGAAGAAAATCAAGCAATTACCTTGAAGACGCTCAGGCGGTTGTTAGACTCTCTCTCTCTCTCTCTAGAAGTTGGAACTTTCTCTCTCTAGACTTTGTGAAAAATGTCAAAAATGAGGAGCAGGGTAAAACCTTATTTATAGAGGGGTAAATTCAAGGGCATCCCCGTAATTTCCCTAGAAGGTGAAAGGTTTTTACTGTTCACCAGTGGCAAACTGACAAGTGTCACAGGCGTCACGTGGCCCAATTAGAAGGTGACACGTGTCATCCCAAGAGAGGTCCAAACAGGACCAATCATCGGCTGACACGTGACATTCCCAATCAGCAGGGAAAAAGACGGTCTTTAGGGCCCAATTCCCGAGAAAGACGCAAAGCGACGCAGCCCACCAAATCTAGGTCACGTTGACCTAGATAAGGGCACATTTCCCAATGACCCTATAAATAGGGAGATTAACCCCATTTTGGGGGCACGTTCATTAAAATGAAATTTTCTAGGGGCACATTTCCCAATGATCCTATAATTATGTGACTCTAATGTGGATGATGCATTTAATTTTTGGTCTTTGATTAAAGGTACCTAAACCGGTCATACTAGATTTCGGGATGTTGGGTAAGATTTGGGTGTTGTGGTTGTCGTTTTGATTTCAGTGATGATGGTGGTTTCAACTGGGCGTCGTGGTGTTGATTTGACTGGGCAGTGGTGGTGGATTTGAATTAGGTCGTGGTGGCCTGGGTTTAATTTGAGTGGTTGGTAATTGTACTTTTTTCACTAAAATGTAATGAAAATTAAGGTTTGGTTAATTATGAAGTTGTATGTTTGTAAATAAGGGTATTATTGTAATTGTAAATGAAAAAAACTAACCAAAAAAAGGAACGAATTGAGTTTGGTGCAATCAAAGTGATATATCCCAATATGGTACATGTTGTCATCTTTTATGTTAGGAATTATTCAACATTGATGATAAGAAGATATTCCTAATTTAATGAAAATATTCTAAACTTTTTTCTTTCTCCCTATGAAGAATCCAACTTTTGGATTAGTCGGGATAGTTTTTCAATGGCCACCTAAAATTGTAGCCATTGCAATGTATTCAATCTTAATCGTCTATTTATAAATTTATAATCCTAACCATTGATGTTATAAGCCCATTTTTCGCCTTTGACAATGCTCACATTATCATTAGAGGTGATCATTTATAACTCGGCCCGTTGGCCTGGTCCAAACTCGCCCAAAAAAATGAGGGCTTGGGCAATAAAAAATATGCAATTTTAGTTGAAAGCCCGAACCTAGCCTGCAAAACCCGCACTCTTTGGGTGGGTTTGGGCATAAATTTTAGCGTACAAGCCTGCCCGACTCGCCCATTTGATCACATCTAAATTTATCATATAATTACTATCGATTCCCTTGTTTCGCTTGATCGAGTATTTGATTATGATAAATTTTAGTGTTCTAATCTTAATTGATAAGTAAGATTGATAGCATAGTATAGTTTTCAGTCGGGGAACATTTTTGGACATTACTACCTCTACCTATTGGGTAGACAACTCACTACTAATAGATTATTAGAATATTAGTATTTAAGTCAAGTTGAATTCCACTAACATAATTATCATAACCTTATATTAGGGGTGGGTAGTCTACCCCTTGGGTCAACCAAACTTTTTCCAAAATATGTTACTACCTCTGTTTCATATATTTACATCAATTATACATTTTTCCTCTCTATTCTATGTCAAATCGTTGTAAATAATATAAAACGGAGGTAATATTTAAAATGAAAAGAAGTTATGAATTTATGATAAAATTGTAACATAAATTAAAATAATAAATACTCATTTAATTGATTTTTTTTCCATTTTTAGATTCTATATAGCAATTGGGTTATGCTATATAGAATCTAAAAATCCCTTCAAGGACAAAATGGTAATCTACTTGCATTTAAAAAAGCTTGTAAGCCGTTACTTACACCACCACAAAATCGACCGTTAGTCACATTTAAAAACTCCAAACTTGACATGACCGTTGCAAAACCCGCTCCCTTCTCTATTCTTTAACTAAGATCTCAACAATTCTCCCCCAAAGCTCAAACAACAATTCTCCCCCAAAATCCCATGAAAATGGATTCAAAAAAACAGCATCCACTCGACCAAATAGCAGAAACCCCAACTCACAAACTCCTCCTAAAGCAGTGGCTGAAAGAGCAAGACCTAATACTCGGCCGAATCTCCCTAAAAGAGTCCCAAATCGACGGTGTCCGAAAAGAGATCACCAACCTCTACACCATCTTCTTCCTCTTCCACTCGCTCTCACTGCTGCTGCTATTCAACATCTCTTTTGCCAATACTTCTGCCTGTAAGAAATCGTGGGTGCCGTCTCTCTGCTCATTGCTGTTCTCGATGTCGGTGATTTGGGCGGTCCGGTACAAGACCGATGTCGAGGGGCATCTGGAGAAGCTTCTGGAGAGGGAGAAGGAGGACTGGAAATTGCTTGGAAAATGTGTTGAGGAGTTGAAGAGAAAAGGGATCGAGTTTGATTTGTTGAAGGAGGTTGATGCGCTTCGAAGGGCCAAGAGTATGAGGATCGAAGCCAAAGCTGTCAGGAAATGGTCTGCTAGAGATTTCGTTTCGCTTTTCTTCTTCTTCCTTTCTTGTCTTGCTGTTGGTCTTTCTAGGGTCATCTTGTGTAATTAGAATCAAAATTTGTTTTCTTTTAATTGGGTATTATTTTCATTTTATTTTTCCTTTTGTTGGTTTTGGGGATATGGAGTAACAGATTAAGTGCAGAATACTCTGTTCTGCTTTTTGTAATTTGGTAAACCCATAATTTATGGTTATAACAATAACATGATTCATTAGTCATTGTTAAGACTAGTAAGTCATTACTCCTGTTCTAGCAATTTTGAATATCTTGTTGATTGTAGGCTAGTAACTCATTACTTTTTCGGTCGGGTTTGGACCGGGCTATTAATGATCACCTCTAATTATTTGTATACTTGGGCAAATATAAACAGATGAGTAAAAAAAGCTGTTGAATGATCTCAACTTTTGGCGATTTGGAAATTCAATGTGAAGAATAAAAAGTGAATGTTATTATTATTTCTAATTTGGACATGAATTGTGTGTTGTTTGCTGTTAGAATCTTACTCTGGTTTTGCATGGTACTCGTTATGACTGATTATATGAAGTGTAATGCACGCCTTTTTTTTTTAAAAGCACATTCAACTAAATGCATATTGGGAGGTAAGAACTAAGAACTACAACATTAAAGCATACTAATTACTAATTACGATTTAGGGTAAAACTAGGTTTGTTAGCCCAGGCGCTACCCCAAGTGTTTGGCATATATGATTTTTGTCAAAAAAATATATTCAATGAAAACCAATTTCATATTACGAAATTTGGTAGACCGTAATATAAACTGGGAGGGTAAAAGCTGTAAGACCATTCTCCGGCTACATTAAAGTAAAAGTATGAAAATAATAATCTTTATGAAATTTTGATTTAAATAATCTAACCTTCACACGATTTATTTTCAATAATCCGACTTTTTGATTGTACATGATTAATCCGACTTTTTGATTGTACATGATTAGGAAAATTTAAAAAAAACAAAAAAAATTCCCAAAAATTTCTAAATGCGTTTTTTGTTTTTTTATTATTTTTTTTTTAAATTTTGTTATTTTAAAATATAATTTAAATAATTTTTTAAATTATATTTAAAATATTTTTTTTTTGGGATAGGTGGCTTGGAATTATTTTGGTTTTTTTTTTTAACTTTTATTATTTTAAAATATAATTTAAATAATTTTTTAATAAAAAAAAAAAAACAAAGGTTAACCATTTTAACTAAAAAAGTTAGCCATAAACCTAAAAAAGATCACTATAGTCAATTTTTCTATACCTTGGTGCCACTAAAGAGAGCTGAAAAAAAATTTCGTCTTCCACGTAAAAAACTCAAAACCATGAGGCCACCATGTAGAATTTCCCAAATATATATGTTTTGATGAATCAAATCGCAACACGTGGTAAGATAACCTGGTGTTGTAGGTTGGTGACTGGTTTGGCCTTGATAGAATAGAATGGGATATAAAGCTTGGATTATTCATGTATAATCGAAAGATTGGATTATTAAAAAATGAATCGCGTAAAAGTTGAATTATTCAAATCAAATTTTCCTAATCTTTATTGGGGTATCATAAATTTTTGAATATTCTACTGTGTATATGAGATTGTTCACTACAATTTGTCAAAATACAAAAGAGTTAGTTTTCATTCACATATATGATGAGTTTTCTTATTATATTTTGGCAAGGTTAAAGCTTTAAAGGTAAAATTAAGTAGAAAAAAGGTGAGAGAGGGAGTCCACAACCCTCACCAATAAGCCACCAGATCCACCACCACCAAAGCAAATTATGGAAGATCACAAAAAATCAACTTATATATTTGAAAATAGTATGGTAGGGGAAGGTGTACCATGTGCACCTCCCTCATATCTCTCACCATCTTCCCCTTTTGATATTAAAAAAAATAAAAAAATTAATTGATTGAAAACTTTCCCTCCTAATTTTCAAACATTTCCATCCTTATAAATATGCAATCAATTTGATCCTTCCTTTTATAAAACTGCCAGAATCAAAATTCTTCCCCAAATTTTAGAGAGAAATATATTCTATTCAATTTTTTAGAGAGAGAAAAAAAACAGAGCAATTACAAAATTGATTACAGAGATCGTTTCCGAGAGATTTTCAACAATTTTCATGTCTTATCAATCCGAATTTTGACATGATTCTGTTGCAAGATTTGTCAATGAATTTACTAAAGAGAATGATGGCATTGATAATGACGATGATGGAGAAGAATCTGAAGTCTTCGTGAATAGTGATGAAGGTAATGCTGCTGATTATTTGTGATTTTTATATTTTAATTGTTTGATGTTATTTTTTTTACATTCTATTTTGATAAATTATAATTAATTGAAGAATAATTTTCTATTTATTTGTGATGTTTAAATTTAAATTGTTTGATTTATGTCTAATGTTGATGATGAACTTAGTTTTGATTTATTGTTATGCTTGTTGTAATTTTTATTTGCACTGAAAATCAATGTATATATTGTATGTACTATATATTCTTTTGTTAACGTCGTATGTTCATTTAATATAAACTAATGTTCTTTATTGTTTTATATTGATCTTATGATTTTTTACATATCATGTTCTTTCTATTTCAGATCATGTTCTTTTTATTTCAGATCATGTTCTTTTTATATTAGATCATGTTCTTTTCATTTGATTGTATGTCCTTTTTTATATTGTGCTGAAGTATACTGATACAATTGCAGAGTTTGAACATTATTGGTCAAGGTATTATTTTATTTCTATATCACGTTCCTTTTTTTTTAATATATTGATGTTCTTTTAAGTTTTACATTATGTTTTTTTTAATGAACTGATGTTCTCTTAATTTCTAAATTTTGTTCCTTTTTAATGAATTGAATGTTTATATAATTATGAACTAATGTTCTTTCTATAAAGATGTAAAACTCTTTTTTTTTAATATTTCATTTTTTTTAACAATTGTTTTAATTTATAATGTTCTTTTAATTTTTTTATGTTCTTTTTATTGACATTATGTACTTTTTCATTTTTAGCATGCTGGACAAATTTCAATGCCAAGATAACAAATGGATTATAAATCTGTATAATATTAAAGAGATGTGGTGCCCTGTGTAATCTAACGACTACTTTAGTGGAGGTATTTTGTCTTCTCAAAAGAGTGAAACAACAAACAAGTACGTTTCATGTAGGCTTCATATTACTCACGGTCTTTGTGATTTTTATAACTCTTTCATTGAGGTTGTTGATGAGTGGAGGGGTGACGAAGGCAATCATGACTATAATAGTATCACTGATAATCATCATTTAGTTTGGGTAGATATTGGGTTATTGGAGCATGCAAGAAAGATTTACACTATTGCATTGTACCTAATGTTCTTTTATAAATTCTTGATGTTCATTTTAGTTACATCAATGTTATTTTTAATTACTTAATGTTCTTTTACTCTATGTCTGATGTTATTTTAAAACCTATTTTGTTTTTAAGAAGCATTGACTGTACTTTTGAGAAATATTATTGCACATTGGTCTGAATATGGTGGTTCAATAGAGTATTTCGAGCCTGATGATTAATTTGGAGTAATTAAATGTCACCCCTTTTTAAATTTTTTCTTTGAATTTAATTTGTTCTAAACTTGGATTACTATAATTATAATAGATTTTTTGGAATTAATATCATTACTTTGAATATTACATTTTATATATTATTTAACTTGATTGCTTTTTTTTATTTCAATAACATAAATTTAATAACAAAACTAAATTACATCTATATATGTTGAAAGGTCATATAATTCAAAATCTACATATGTTTCAAACTAACAAGTACATGTTTGTTCAAAATAAAAAGTACAAGTTACTTTTTCAAAATAAAACATTAGCATTGTCTAAAAATTGTTCAATACTTGTAATCAAACCATACTTCAGCATTGTTAGTCACTTCAAATTTGTTCTTGTTTATTGCACTTATAAGGATTTCATTGCTATAATATATCTTTAGCTTCTTCAGGACACCAAACTATAAAACAAAAAAGAAAATCACATCAGCAAAAAGGAACATTAGATCTAATAAATAGAACATTATACATATTTAAAAGAACATTTAACATATTTAAAAGAAAATTATGCAAGTATAAAAGAACATATCTTACATTGTCAGCCTTTAACCTACATTCCCATTTCCAAATGTGAGGGATTATATTTGGTGCTACATATGAGGATGTATGAATGTATAGATTTTTATGCTAAAGATAGTGAAGGATGTAAATAAAAAATAATTAACGGACACGCTGAAATTGCCAATATCACAATTCAATAGTAAGCTAAAATTTCCAAGTAGATAAAGCAGTAGCAATAATCCAATAGAAGAACATCGTATTACATCAAAAAGAACATTATCAAAAACATTAACTTTAAATAAAAGAACATTAACTTTAAATAAAAGAACATTATACAAATTTGAAAAAAAAAGTCGTATTACCTCAAAAAGAACATTATCGGAAATAATTAATTAATCATTGAATCATTTCCTACTAAACAGATCTACCATTTTTAATTGCATTGAAAACTTCAAAATTACAAATTACCTCATAAACAATAAAAGAGACCTTACCAAACAGATATACAATTTTTTTTAGTACACTAACAACTTGAAATGCCAAATTAAGTGAGAAAAGGATGTTTTGTACTCCACTTACTTTGTTTTTGCCAAACTCTCTACGGATTTCAAGATATGAGGGTCCACAATTGGAGCAACATCTTCACCTTCTTCTTTCTTTTTGCTTTTTTTTTCTTTAATATTTTTGAAATTAAAGTTGCTTTCAACGGAATATCTTCCTCATTTACCACTTTTTGTTCACTAAATTAAAAAAATTAAAAAATAAATCAAACCTCAAACATGCATAGAACTTCTTAACTTTCTGATTTACAATTATCTTTTAAAACACAATTAAAAGTAAAAAATTATAGAATTGAATGAGAAATTCACACTTACGCATCGTTTTTGGCCTTCGTAATTGCAAAAAAACTTGATAAATTTCTAAAGATGATTCGATTTTTGAGTAAAATAGGGTTTTTTTGAAAGGGGGAAGATGGGGAAGATGAACTACTTTTTACTTTTTTTGCAGAGTAAATTTTAGGAGAGAGAAAAGGTAAAATTTTACTCAATTACTTCAATTAAAGTGGACCCTGAAATTTTCAAAAGCCCATTAACTGTTCATCCCCAATTAAATGCGCACACTCTTAAAACGTATAAGATGTTCTTTTATGGACCATGTTCTTTTATTCATAGAGTGATGTTCTTCCGGGTGTACCATGCGCATGGTACACCCGGGTGTACGAAACAATTATATTACCTCTCCAACCTACTCCTTCAAAGAAGCCTTACAAGCCCCCATTCCCCACTGTTAAACACTCAGTTCCAAAC